CTGCAGCAACTCTGCAGCAACTCTGCAGCAACTCTACAGCAACTCTGGAGCAACTCTGGAGCAACTCTGCAGCAACTCTACAGCAACTCTACAGCAACTCTGCAGCAACTCTGCAGCAACTCTGGAGCAACTCTGCAGCAACTCTACAGCAACTCTACAGCAACTCTACAGCAACTCTACAGCAACTCTGCAGCAACTCTGGAGCAACTCTGCAGCAACTCTACAGCAACTCTACAGCAACTCTACAGCAACTCTACAGCAACTCTACAGCAACTCTGGAGCAACTCTGCAGCAACTCTGCAGCAGCAACTCTGCAGCAACTCTGCAGCAGCAACTCTACAGCAACTCTGCAGCAACTCTGGAGCAACTCTGGAGCAACTCTGCAGCAACTCTGGAGCAACTCTGCAGCAACTCTACAGCAACTCTGCAGCAACTCTACAGCAACTCTACAGCAACTCTACAGCAACTCTGCAGCAACTCTGCAGCAACTCTGCAGCAACTCTCAACTCTGCAGCAACTCTGCAGCAACTCTGCAGCAACTCTGCAGCAACTCTGCAGCAACTCTCAACTCTGCAGCAACTCTGCAGCAACTCTGCAGCAACTCTGCAGCAACTCTGCAGCAACTCTGCAGCAACTCTGCAGCAACTACAGCAACTCTGCAGCAACTCTGCAGCAACTCTGCAGCAACTACAGCAACTCTGCACCAACTCTGCAGCAACTCTGCAGCAACTCTACAGCAACTCTACAGCAACTCTACAGCAACTCTACAGCAACTCTGCAGCAACTCTACAGCAACTCTGCAGCAACTCTGCAGCAACTCTGCAGCAACTCTGCACTCTGCAGCAACTCTGCAGCAACTCTGCAGCAACTCTACAGCAACTCTGCAGCAACTCTACAGCAACTCTGCAGCAACTCTGCAGCAACTCTGCAGCAACTCTGCAGCAACTCTACAGCAACTCTGCAGCAACTCTGCAGCAACTCTACAGCAACTCTACAGCAACTCTACAGCAACTCTGCAGCAACTCTGCAGCAACTCTGCAGCAACTCTGCAGCAACTCTACAGCAACTCTGCAGCAACTCTACAGCAACTCTATAGCAACTCTGCAGCAACTCTGCAGCAACTCTACAGCAACTCTACAGCAACTCTACAGCAACTCTACATCTGCAGCAACTCTACATCTACTCTGCAGCAACTCTACATCTACTCTGCAGCAACTCTACAGCAACTCTACAGCAACTCTACATCTGCAGCAACTCTACATCTACTCTGCAGCAACTCTACATCTACTCTGCAGCTACTCTACAGCTACTCTACATTAACTCTGCTACAAAGGAAGTGAACTGTGTTTGGTCACTACACGTCAAACACACGGCCTCTTCGTGTCTAACTGAGAGTCAGAAGTGTGTCGTTCTCACCTCTCGCTCTTCAGCTGGGCGAATCTCTTCCGAATGTCGTCCACGGTGACCTCAAAAAACTCGTCGGGAAGTTCTCTGTCGTCATGGTGACGGGCTCCTGAGTCCAGATGGAAGACCAGCGGCTCCCTGTCGATCGGCTGGACATAGACACAATCAATGAGCACGCTAACCCTAACATGTGCCAACTAACTCAACACACACTCACGGTTATTGACACGTTACTGCGATAAAGAAATATGCATTAATGAGAAACATGCAATAAGCATCGAAAACAGCCCCGCCTACTGATTTACATAGAATCTGCATACAAGTTGACTTTAAAAAACAAAAATTGTGTAATAAAAGAGAAAAGAAAATAAGGAAAATATAATGAATGCATGTTTAAAAATATATTAATATATACATCTTTGAATCGTGTCACTATTATTGCGTGTGCATTGATAAAAAGCTTTGTACAAAAATATATTTGCAATTTCTTTTTCGCATTTGCATTTTATTTTAATATTGTCAGTTTTGCATCGAGGTTGAAGTGAAAATAAAATTTCAAATCACCAAATGCTTTTTATTTTTCGATCTGACGGAGATGATGCATTAAATAAAAATTAATTTTGGCACCTATTTTGCAAACAATTTTTATAATGAATTATTTAATCTGGTTTTCATATTTATTTGTGTGATTTAATGAATTTATTTAAATTGTGCTGAGGCGGACGTGTGTGTGAGGCGGACGTGTGTGTGAGGCGGACGTGTGTGTGAGGCGTGTGTGTTTTTACCTCCAGATATTCGTCTGGTTCCTCTTCATCCCTCGTCGCTTGTTTGGCGCTGACGGATCTCTAAACGACAGGAGAAACACATTCAAAAACTCTTCAGCTTGAGAGAGAGATCTGTGTGTGTGTGTGTGTGTTGTGTGTGTGTGTGTGTGTGTGTGTCTGTGTGTGTTTGTTTTTGTGATATATGAGGACACAAATGTGTATAATGACATGCATATTACACTGGTATTACAACTTACACGTGATATATGAGGACATTGCATGTGTCCTCATATTTCAAATAGCTTAAAAAACATAAAAAACAATGGGTTTTTTTTTTATGTAAAAATGCAGCATGTCTCCTGTGATGGGTAGGTTTAGGGATAGGGGCAGTGTAGGGGGATAGAATATACAGTTTGTCCAGTATAAAAGTCATTACGCCTATGGAATGTCCTCATATATCACAAAAACAAAGCTGTGTGTGTGTGTGTGTGTGTGTGTGTGTGTGTGTGTGTGTGTGTGTGTGTGTGTGTGTGTGTGTGTGTGTGTGTGTGTGTGTGTGTGTGTGTGTGTGAGTGTGCGTGAGTGTGTGTGTTTGTGCATTTTTTAATGAAAAAGCCATTCAAAAGATTGGAATAATTATGATTTTTCTAATGTTTCTGAAAGAGTCTCTTCTGCTCAGCAATGCTGCATTTATCTGATCAAAACTACAGTAAAAATTGTGAAATATTATTAGAATTTCAAATGACTGTTTTCTATTGTAATACATTTTAGAATGTAATTTATTTCTGTGATCAAAGCTGAATTTTCAGCATCATTACTCCAGTCTTCAGTGTCACATGATCCTTCAGAAATCACTCTAATGATGATTTGATGCACAAGAAACATTTATGATTATTATCAGTGTTTAATATTTGTTATAATACCTTGATTTCGTGGCTGGGTTTGGGTTTTTTGGCTTTGGGAGGGCTGCCGGACACACATGGGGACCACGAGGTCGAGCTCTTCAGTCCCGCAGGTCCTCCCAGACGCTGTCCGCTTCCCGAAAATGGCACGAAGTCAGTGGGCGTGGCCGAGGGGGCGGGGCTATGGGGCTGAGGGGGCGTGGCCGAGGGGGCGGAGTCACGGCACTGTTGGGACGTCCCCGGTCTCTCGTCGTCCTTCGTTATCTGCGACTCCTGATGCTCACTAGTTTTGGGCTGCACTGTTCGCTCTCGGCTCTTGTTTGGCTCCTCCTCTTCCTGTTTGACAGGGTGATGGTTCAATGGGGCGGCGGCCTGAGTGGGCGGAGCCGGGGTTTCCACGGGAACAGAGGCTGATGGTTCTGGAGGAGGCGGCTGTGATACGGTCATCTTGGCAACAGCATCCGTTGGCTTGGCAACAGCATCCGTTGGCGTGACAACAGCATCTGTCGGCGTGGCAACAGCATCCGTTGGCGTGGCAACATCATCCGTTGGCATGGCGACCGTATCCATTGTCGCACCAGGACAAGAGGAGCTAGAGCCTTTCAGCACATATCTAACAGACAGAAACATCTTCAATATCATCATATATCATATAATTGTGGATGAGCTCACCCAAAGAAAATTCCAGACAACCTGTTTGTTATGGCAATAAATCAATCAAATGAAATCAGAGAGGGATGTGACATCAGCACTGAGAGCTCACCGTATGATGGCACTTCCTCCCGTGAGACCCAGAGACTTCAGAGTCGTCGTCTTCAGTGCTTCCTCACCGCTGACCTAAACAAGGACAGACATGAAACAGTGTTTACTACTTTCTATTTAATTACACTAATTGAATATTCTGTCTTTCTGAGGCGTTTTAATCATCCACAAAAAGACCTGCGGGCGGATTCACCAAACATTCCTAAAAGATATAAGAATCCTAAAAATGTTATGTATTCCCAGAAGTAAAAATCTTCAGAAAAAAAGATAATAACATTCTTAAGACAAAACGTATTAATTATTTTAAGAAATCAGCGATTACTGAACCCTTCTTTGTGTTCGATTTTTTTTGTTAAAGTACATACATAACACTTTGTACCTAATAAACCTAATAAAGATAATGTTCAAAAAAACATTGTAAATAATAACCTCCAACTTGACTTAAACCCCCAAAGGTAAACCCAGAAAAAAAGTGTGTAATTTTTCTTCTTACATTATTACAGGTACATTGTTTGGAGCATAAGCAACAAAGGGCAGAGAAGAATTATTTAAATTTAAATTAAGATTTTATGATTTGTTCCATGTAGAGGACACAAGACACAACAATGTTTTTTATATACATTTTTTATAGTCAATATACCAGTCAATTTTTAGGTTTCAGACCATTTTATTTTCTATAACTTGTCCTATAATGCTGGAAAAAGATTTTTAGAAAATGTTTATATTTTGCATTTTGTATGGATACTAGTGCAAAGATATTTGAGAACTTTTCAAGAATTGCACAACGCTCTACATTGCGAGTAAATCATTCACATATGCATGTATGTATCGCGTCAAAAGTCTGGCAAGTAAAAAAAAAGGTTTAAAATTAATAATTTTTATTTTATTTTTTATTATTCATATATTTATTTTTTAAATAGAATTATTTTTGCATGCATAATCAAATGTATCAACATAATTCAGTCCTAATAGTGTGTGTGAGATACAGAAAAGAGGATAAATATATTTTACAGAAGTAATTTGAGACAGATCTAACTAATAGAAGTAATATTTACAATAGAATCAAAAGTAAAGCCAAATGCGTGTGACCCTAATGCAACAGTAAAGGCACGTTCACATCAAGAACAATAACTATAAAGATGACGATAACTATATTAGAGTCCACAATATTGTTCTATATATGAGCAATTTTATCATATGTCGCTGGATTCTGATTGGCTGTCAATATTTTTTTTTCATTCATCAGCAAGAAAAAATCTTTCTGAAACTGATTCCAATGATTTAGAATGATTTTTATAACTATATCGTTATCATTATAGTTATCGTCCTCGGTGTGGGCGGGCCTTAAATGAAGTGATTTTGATGTTGACTTTAATACCGAAGCGCAGAGATCAAGCGGTCGGTCTCACCTCGTCTCTCATGTAAACACACACTGGTGTGTGTCCAGACGGCTCCAGATCAGACGTCCTGCGAGAAGGAAACAGATCAAAACATCTGTCAGGAGGAGAACAAACAAAAACACACACTGGACTCTGATCTGTGCGTCTGCTGGATGACATGTGTTGCATTTACTGTATATACATTAGATTCCTGCATTGAGAACAGCAGCCAGTTTAAACTGACCCATATTCACCTTCCATGCAGTTCTTTTTGGGAAAGAGAGCAGAGGAAAACACGGAAACAAGTGGAATCTCAGTGGTTGAGTGGGAGAGCAGGGGGAGTGGTCAGTGAGGGGAGGGGGAGTGGTCAGTGAGGGGAGGGGGAGTGGTCAGTGAGAGCAGGGGGAGTGGTCAGTGAGGGGAGGGGGAGTGGTCAGTGAGGGGAGGGGGAGTGGTCAGTGAGAGCAGGGGGAGTGGTCGGTGAGAGCAGGGGGAGTGGTCAGTGAGGGGAGGGGGAGTGGTCAGTGAGAGCAGGGGGAGTGGTCAGTGAGGGGAGGGGGAGTGGTCAGTGAGAGCAGGGGGAGTGGTCAGTGAGGGGGAGTGGTCAGTGAGGGGAAGGGGAGTGGTCAGTGAGGGGAGGGAGAGTGGTCAGTGAGGGGAGGGGCCTGCTGTATCAGTGGCTGAGTGAGAGCAGGGGAGTGGTCAGTGGTCAGTGAGGGGAGGAGCCTGCTGTATCAGTGGCTGAGTGATAGCAGGGGGAGTGGTCAGTGAGGGGAAGGGGGGTGGTCAGTGAGGGGAGGGGGAGTGGTCAGTAAGGGGAAGGGGGTGGTCAGTGAGGGGAGGGGGAGTGTTCAGTGAGGGGAGGGGGAGTGGTCAGTAAGGGGAAGGGGGTGGTCAGAAAGGGGAGGGGGAGTGGTCAGTAAGGGGAGGGGGGGTGGTCAGAAAGGGGAGGGGGAGTGGTCGGTGAGAGCAGGGGGAGTGGTCAGTGAGGGGAGGGGGAGTGGTCAGTGAGAGCAGGGGGAGTGGTCGGTGAGAGCAGGGGGAGTGGTCAGTGAGGGGGAGTGGTCAGTGAGGGGGAGTGGTCAGTGAGGGGAAGGGGAGTGGTCAGTGAGGGGAGGGAGAGTGGTCAGTGAGGGGAGGGGCCTGCTGTATCAGTGGTTGAGTGAGAGCAGGGAGAGTGGTCAGTGAGAGGAGGGGCCTGCTGTATGAGTGGTTGAGTGAGAGAGCAGGGGGAGTGGTCAGTGAGGGGAAGGGGAGTGGTCAGTGAGCAGAGGGGGAGTGGTCAGTGAGGGGAGGGGGGGTGGTCAGTGAGGGGAAGGGGGTGGTCAGTGAGGGGGAAGGGGGTGGTCAGTGAGGGGGAAGGGGGTGGTCAGTGAGGGGGAAGGGGGTGGTCAGTGAGGGGAAGGGGAGTGGTCAGTGAGGGGAAGGGGGGTGGTCAGTGAGGGGAGGGGGAGTGGTCAGTGAGGGGAGGGGGAGTGGTCAGTGAGGGGAGGGGGAGTGGTCAGTGAGTGAGTTTGGCAGCGGCACTGAGAGCTCATTAAACACAGTGTTCACGGTTCACACGATCTGGCTGCATTTAAAAACCTCAGCAGGATGAATGTGCTTTTCTTTAATCGATACAAACATCCACAGAAAGAACACACGCACATTTCCCTCATAAATTACGCATTCAAAAATGAAACAACTGCAGCCCTCGCAGACAGAACGACACACACCTGGTTTGAGGAAAGTGGGTCAGTAGATCCCATAACGTCTGTCCACTGGAGAAAGAGCCCTGAAGACGAGAGCCGTCCTGCATCTGCAGTGCAATCCGCACCTGAACCACAGAACACACACAGGAGGAGCAGAAAACATCAGAACTGCTGGAACATGTGTTATAAAAATATATTTACATTTTTAAATCTGATTAATCAGCATTACTGCCTAGTTAGACTACAAATAAATACAATACAGGTCAAAAGTTTGGAATAATTCAGTTTTTTGAAAGGTCTCTTCTGCTCAGCAAGGCTGCATTTATTTAATCAAAAATACAGTAAAACAGTGTAATATTACTCCAGTGTAAATCAGCTGTTCTCTATGTGAATATACAGTAAAGTGTAATTTATTCCTGTGATCAAAGCTGAATTTTCAGCATCATTACTCCAGTCTTCAGTGTCACATGATCCTTCAGAAATCACTCTAATATGATGATCTGATGCTCAAGAAACATTTATGATTATTATCAGTGTTGGAAACAGATTCATATTTTTGTGGCAACGTTACAGTTATTTTGTGGAATACGCATTTTATTTTTCAGGATTCTTTGGTAAATAGAAAGTTCAAAAGTTCAAAAAAGTTCAAAAGAACAATTTATTTGAAATAGAATCTTTTATAACATTGATTGTTATAAAATATCAATTTAATGAGTCCTTGATGATTAAAAGTATCAATTAATAAAAAAATAAAAAATTCTTAGTTTTTGTATTTGCAATCAATGCTGATTGATCTGAATTCTATCAAAACGAATGTTTGGCTTTTAGAAGTTAGACCACAACTTGTGTAAAACTTTTTGCACATTTATGGAAATCAGAAGTCAACGACACCACAATAATAAATCTTCAGCACAGAAAATCATTAAAGCAAATAATGGTGCATTAATCTCCATGAAACACTGAAAAGACAACAAAGAAATCTCGTCGAGCTGATCCAAACAGTCTTAAAACTCTTGAATGCATTTCAAAGAAAGTGTGGAAAATAATAACCCTGAAATCTCCTTTAGAGCCAGAATCGTTTCATAAAAGCCTCCACTGATAGATAAACCCTGAACAGCGTGCAGGAGATGCTGTAATCGGGCAGAAGTGTGTGAGACGGAGCCAGGCAGCTCATCAAGGCACTGCGTGTGTGTGTGTGTGTGTGTGTGCGATCTGAACCGCAAACACACACTTGGACACGCCTCCACATGACTGAAGTGTGAGGCAGAACGGCCGTCAAACGCTGGCGGGAAGGCCCATTACCCATCATGCTTTACGACCGACCCGCTCATTAATCATCTTTCAATCAAACGAGAGCGTGATGTTCATTTTCCCTTTCATCCAGCCGTACGGCTACAACTGCTCAAACATTCGGCGTTATAAACACATTCCCATAAAACAGCAGATGGGATCGGTGCTCGTGTGCCAATAAAAGTGTGTGTGTGTGTGGGGGGGGGTCTGATGATGTCATCGATCCGGAGCGCTGATGTCATAACCTAACGAGCTCCTCGTACAATCACAGCCTGACAGGATGAAGGAAACATGTGTGTTTATGCATTTTTACACTGACTGTAAACAACACGAATGAATGATTCATGCTTATTTTTCTGATATATTATAAGTGAGGATGTTCAATGCAGCAAAACTCATTTTCCCAGAGCGGCGCGCGAATGTTTACGGACAAACACGGCAGGAACGTGCAAACATATAATCGACAGGCCTAATTACACCGAAGTGGAAACGAAGTGCGCTCCCAGGAGGCTATTATAAACTATTACAAAACTGCATGAAAAAATAGGTCATTTTAAACACAGCAGATGTTTGTTCTAGCACAAAAAAACAATTACAACTACTATCAACATTTGTTCCAAGCGAACTCCCACTACTGAGGGACCAATTCATTTAAGCTTAATCTGCAACACTTTTATTTGATTTGTTTAACTAATTGTATACATTTCAATGATTTAATATTTATAGCTTTAAGTATTTACCCTTACACAAAATCATTAAAATAAAAATGTTGTGTCGTCTCATGACGTGTGATGTGTTGTGTAATGTATTATAATAAAAATAAAATAATAAAACACAGGTCACACACACACAGGTCACAAACACACACACGCACACACACAGGTCACACACACACAGGTCACACACACAGGTCACACACACACGGGTCACACACACCCCGCTCTCGGCTCCCGCCGGCTGCCGTACACACACACACAGGTCACACACACCGCGCTCTCGGCTCCTGCCGGCTGCCGTACACATACACACACACACACAGGTCACACACACACAGGTCACACACACCCCGCTCTCGGCTCCCGCCGGCTGCCGTACACACACACACACACACAGGTCACACACACCGCGCTCTCGGCTCCTGCCGGCTGCCGTACACGCACACACACACAGGTCACACACACACAGGTCACACACACCGCGCTCTCGGCTCCCGCCGGCTGCCTTACACACACACACACACAGGTCACACACACACAGGTCACACACACCGCGCTCTCGGCTCCCGCCGGCTGCCGTACACACACCACCACCTCCAGCTTGGCATTGTTCGGCAGACCAGCAAACCTCCACTGCAGAGTCAGATCTAGAACATTCCTCTGAAACCTGCAGGTGAAGAGAGACAGTGAGGCGTCAGACACACACAAACACACACTCACACTCTTTCTCTCTCTCTCTCTCATACACACACACACACTGTCACAAATACAAACATAAACATACACACTCACACTCTCTCTCTCTCTCTCTCTCTCTCATACACACACACACACACTGTCACAAATACAAACATACACACTCACACACACACACACACACACACACACACACACACACACACTCTCTCTCTCTCTCTCTCTCTCTCTCTCTCTCTCTCTCTCTCTCTCTCTCTCTCTCACACACACACATATATATATATATATATAAACAGGTTAAACTCACTTGAGTCCATGATCATCTGGATTAAAGCCGTGCTTCTTACAAACATCCTCAAGAACCTGCAGAAATAAACATTTAAATATTCATTATCT